ATTGGGCCTGGTCCCCAGTTGGTGGAACTATTTAAGAAGGATTAGGAAGTGAGGCCCTGTTGGATGAAGTGTGTCACTGATGTTTCAAAAGCCCACGCCACCCCTGATTAATTGTCTCTTTCTCCTTCTTCACCTTACAGATCAGGATGTAGCTCTCAGCTACTGCTCCAGCACCATGCCTGCCTGCTGCCATGCTCCCTGCCACGATGATCATGGACTCTAACAGTCTGGAACTGTAAGCCTCAAAATAAACGTTTCCTTTTATAAGTTGCTTTGGTCATGCATCAGAACACGGTCCAAGAATGGAGTTGTATGAGGGGAATTTCTGAGTGCTTGTAAGACCTCAGTTCCTTCAAAAAGATGAACTCGTTCTTGGATCATGCTTTTGTGCCGCTCGCAGGTGTAGAAGACTGGAGTGAGGCAAGGGCTCTGTCACTGACTCTGAAACACGTCAGTTTGGCTAGGCTGGCCAATCACAGCACCTCAGCTGCCCCCCTGTCTCCACTTCACCAGGGCTGAGATTCGGGCATGCGCTAACCCTGCCCAGCTTTTCACAAGAGTCCTGAAGGCTGGATTCAAGTCCTCACACTTGCTCAGCAAGCCCCTTACCAATTAAGCCATCCCCCTAACCCAGTCCATTTTTTTTTTCTGAGACAAGACTTCTTACTGGCCTGGAACTTAGCAATTCGGCTAGGCTGACTAGATAGTGAGCACCATAGACCTGCCTGTCTCCATTTCCCCTGCTAGGATTACAAGCATGTGCCATCACTCCTGGCTTTTTTAAAAATGCGGGTTCTAGAGATAAAATCAGATCCTCATGCTTCCATGGCAAATACTTTTGCAGCTGAGCCATTTCCCAGCTCCATCCTCAGACACATTACATGAGGAGATGTAAGCCGCCAACAGCCAAAGAACCTGAACACGTCCATCCCCATCTCCCCTATCCAAACATCTCACATGGTCACCAAACCTGTCAGTTCCACCTCCTAGCACATCTCCCTTGGAGCACTGCTCTGTGTCTGTGCTCAACACGGTCCTCCATGCTAACACTAAAGGAGTCTTCCGAAACTGCAGGGCTGTGTAAAGCAGGGGCTCCCGTCACTTCACAGGAGGACAACGTTCAAGGCTCTTGATGATGTCAATGTTCAGATGACATAAGCCCATCTGCCTTCAAATGTCATCTCCATTATCCCCTCCCCTGCATGTGCACGCAGGCACACACACACACACACACACACACACACACACACACACACACACACACCACCCCAAATACACATACTCACCTCATCACATCATTCCCCATAACCCAGACATAAGAGGCTATCCCAGCTCCCTTCCTTTGTAAGTTCATTTCAGTTAAATCCACTCCTCAACTCAAAGCGTTGACGGCTTCTGAGCTGCACCTTGAAGGATGAATAGGAGTTTTCTGGTAGGAAGGCCTCTCATCCCAGGGCTCCAACTAGCAAACTGACTGGTCAGTACTGAAGTATTAGCAAAGTTCTCTCCATCTCTGTTTTCACATCTCTCATTTAGGATGGGAGCTTCTGGCACGAGGCATCTGGCTTCTGCCGTTCCTCCAACCTCAGCACCCAGCATATGCCCAGTTCAGGACCACTGGCTTCTCTGCTGTTCCCACTGGGACAGAAATGGATTCTACCAGAGTAGGGTTGTAAAGAGAAAGGGGGAGTAACAAAAGGAGCTTTGGCAAGGACTCACACAAGACAGTCACAAGGAAAGCCATGTTCGAGGTGGCTGGTCACAGGAGAATAACCTCTGGGAGTGCGTGAAGGCTAAAGACTTCCAACTCCATCTCTCTTGATTCCTGGTGGATTTGGGCTATGCCCTTTTAATGTGCAGGGTCCACACCCATGGGACAGGCCAGTGTCCTTCAACACATACAGGGACACACACCACAAACGCTCACCCTGCCATGACAGTAAAAACACAAGTAGATCAAGTTATTTCCAGACTGGGAATCACATCTGTACCAAGGAAGCTAGCATCTGAGCAAACAGGATACCTCCCACACGCCAGGACTGATGTTCTGTGCCAGGATGGGCACGAAATCTCCAACCGTCTCCTCAGACCTCCAGGGAGACAAAGTTGGTATTTCAGGCAAGAATAACGAATAATGTGGGGCTTTTGTGTCCAGAGCCCATGAGAGGAACACGGGGGGAGAATGGAGGGAATGTTTAGAGAAACCAGAAGAAAGAGGACTTGGGCATGAAGAAATGCAAGGTACGAGACAGGCTTCATGTCCAGAGGACACAGCCTGAGTGATGTTTACCTTGTTCTCTGTCTTATCTGCTGCTGCTACAATAGCTTGTCAAGAAATAGTTCCTGGCCAGGAGTGGCAGCACACACCTTTAGTCCCAGCATCTGGATGCAGAGACAGGCAGATTTCTGTGAGTTCAAGTCCAGCGAGTTCCAGAACAGTCAGTGCTTCATAGAGAAACCATCTTTTAAAAAAAAAAGAAAAGAGAGAGGGGGGGAGGGAGAGGGAGAGGGGAAAGAAAAGAAAGAAATAGAGAGAGAGGAAAGAAAGAAAGAAAGAAAGAAAGAAAGAAAGAAAGAAAGAAAGAAAGAAAGAAAGAAAGAAAGAAAGAAAGAAAGAAAGAAAG